GAATAATACCAATCCTTCACAACCTCTTTCAGAAAATAGAGGAGGGAACACTCCCAAATCACTCTATGACACTGGAATCACCCTGATATCAAAACCAAATAAAGACAACACAAGAAAACTACAAACCAATTTCCTTCATGAATATAGATGCAAAACCTTAAAGCATTAGCAAACCAAATCTATCAATATAAAAGAATTACACAAGGAACAAGGGGGATTTATTTCAGGAATGCAAAGTTGTTTTAAGATTTTAAAACTGGGGGCGCCTGGGTGGCTCAGTGGATTAAGCCGCTGCCTTCGGCTCAGGTCATGATCTCGGGGTCCTGGGATCGAGTCCTGCATCAGGCTCTCTGCTCAGCAGGGAGCCTGCTTCCCTCCCTTCCTCTCTCTCTACCTGCCTCTCTGCCTACTTGTGATCTCTCTCTGTCAAATAAATAAATAAATTAATTAATTTAAAAAAAAAAAAAGATTTTAAAACTGATCCTCACAGTGCCCGGTATTAATAGAGTGAAGGACAGAAACCACAAGATCATGCCAATGGATGTGATAGAACTATCTGAAAAAATCCAACATCCATTTATGCTTAAACTTTCAACAAACCGAGAAGAGAACATCCTCCACCTGATGAAGAACCAACACCTTACATCCTACTTAATGGTGAAAGAATGAATACTTTCTCCCTAAGATCTGGAACAAGCCAAGGATGTTGTCATCACTTCTCATCAACATGGAGGATCTAGCCAGTTCACTAAAGAAAAAGAAATTAAATGCATCCAAGTTGGAAATGAAGAATAAAACTGCCTTTATTCACAGATGACATAATACTATATGTAGAAAATGCCAAAGAATAGAACCCTTTATCTCACTAGCGCTCTCCCTTTCTCTCCAATCGGTATACAAAGGTCAGAAGATACAAGGTCAATAAACAAAAATCACCTGTGTTTTTATATATTATCAATAAACAATCTAGAAGTAAAATACTTCCATTCATAACAGCATCAAAAAATACTTAGAAAATTAAGTGCAAGTCTTGCACGATGAAAATTATAAAACACTGCTGGCAGAAATTAAAGATCTGAAAAAAAATCCAAATAAATGGAGAGATGTTCCATATTCATGGATTTGAAGACTCGGTATTGTTAAGGCCGCAACTTTCTCCACAACTCATTTGTAAATTCAATACTATATCAAAATCCCTGCAGACTATTTTTTTTTTTTTGTAGAAACTGACAGGCTGATACTAAAATTTATATGGAAAGGATCTAAAAAGCCAAAATTCAGGGTGCCTAGGTGGCTCAGTGGGTTAAAGCCTCTGCCTTCAGCTCAGATCATGATCCCAGGGTCCTGTGATCGAACCCCACATCAGGCTCTCTGCTCAGCAGGGAGCCTGCTTCCCTTCCTCTCCCTTTGCCTGTCTCTCTGCCTGCTTGTGATCTCTGTCTTTCAAATAAATAAATAAAATACTTTTTAAAAAATAAATAAAAAGCCAAATTTTTGAAAAAGAAAAAGTACACTATCTAATTTCAAAACTTGCTATAAAACTACAATGATCAAGACGGTGAGGTTATGTAGATCAATGGAAAAGAACTGAGAATTCACAACTAAGTCCTCACGTTTATGGCACATTGATTTGCCACGAACGTACCAAAATACTTCAGTGGGGTAAAGGATAGTCTTCTGAACAATGATAGTGTGACGCCTGAATATTCACATGCAAAAAGTTAAAAAAATTTAAAAGAGACATTTACTTCACACCATACGTAGAAATTAATTTAAAATAGATCACAGACCTAAATGTAAGCTAAAGCTATAAAACTTCTAGAAGAAAATAGAGCAGAAAACTGTGATTGAGAAGAGTTCTTAGATAGTTCAAAAGCATGGTTTATAATAGAAAAATTGATAAATTGTAATTCAATTTTTTTTTTTAGTTTTCCTCTTGAAACATATGATTAAAAGAGAAAACAAGCAACAGACTGAGGGGAAATACTTGCAAATTATATATCTGAGAAAGGTATTGTGTCCAGAATATATGAAGAACTTTTATAGTTCAGTAAGAAAATGACAAAACCACCCAATTAAAAAGGTTGATGAATGTTTGACTTGGCATACTACAAAAAATATGTGAATGGCTAATAAGCACATGAAAAGATGCTTAATATCACTGGTCATTTGAAAATTAAAACCATTTCACACTTACCAGAATGGCTATAATAAAGAAGACGGTAGGTGTTGAGGAAGATTGGAACCTCTTCTAACAGCACTTTGTCTCCTAAGCACTATGAAATTAAGAGAGAGCTCCCTTTGTCTTTTCAATCCCAGGGTCCTGGGATCAAGCCCCTCATCGGCCTCCCTGCTCCTCAGGAAGCCTCCTTCACCCACTTCCCCGGTTGTGTTTCCTTTCTCACTGTGTCTCTGTAAAATAGATACATAAAATCTTTTTTTAAAAAATAAATCTTCATTCTAACTCCCCAGGCTCTCAGGCATAGCCCCAGAATTCAGCATGTGTCATTTAGGATACTGGATGTTGTGGTTGTGCCACCCAGATCCCTGTGCAGGGCTGAAACACTCATTCCCCAGCTGCCAGAAATATTTATTAGCTGAAGGTTCACAGCTGCATCCCTCTCTGGGAATTGCACTTGGCTGAAGGAAGGTACTTCATTCAAGGGTATGGCTTCATCCCCAGGGACAGCCTGCATACAATGACTGGTTGACTCGAGTCCAAATATTCAACCCCTTTGCCTCAGTTGGGGACATCTCTAAGTGGTCATCCCAGCTCGAGAGCTCCTTACAAGATGGGCTAAGGCCAGTTTTACAACTAACTGTATGTATCGCCATTCAACAACTGCCACCATTTTCTGGTTCTGTTGCTCCCTCACAGGTGTTGAGACAACTCCCCAGTAAATCTCCAAATGCAAATATCAGATGTAGTATAGGTTTCCTGAGGAACTCAACTTGCTACATGTGGAGGAAAATGGCCAAACCTCTCAGTTTTCTAATCTGCTGTACCAGTCCTACATGACCACCAAAAGCCTCTCTGGGTTTCTCTTTCCCTCAGTAGAGACCCCCCACCCACTGCCCTGGACCAAGTCTGATTCTTAGTCCACATCCAGAATCACTGAATGCCCCCAGTGGGGGGTGAGGGGTGGTGAAGGGGCTGGAGTTGACCACTCACCTCAGGAGAGCTCCTCCCTCTCTGGAACTCCTGTTCACCTAGTTCTTGTTGCTTTTACAGCTCTCTGACATGTCTTCAAACCTACTCCTTTACAAATTTTTCCTTATTTTTCTGGTTGTTATAGTGTAGGTGGTATAATGCTGCAAACTTCTACACCCTATCTGGAAGTGGAAGTCTCTAGACACAGGTTTTCAAAATTCCAAATGTGTGGATATTAACTTTTTTCCCAACTTAATTGAATGATAGTCAAAGAAGTTATTAGTATTACTTAAATATTTTTAAATTTGCTGAAATTTTATGGTCAAATGTAATAAATATTTCATGTACTTACTCCTAAAAATAATATAGATTCTCACATTCTCACATGTCGGTTGCAATGCCCCTTGTATGTTCATAAGCTTAATCATTTTGTTCAAATCTATATCTTTACTGATTTTTGTCCACTTGATCTGTTTCTGCAAGATGGATTGTAAAATATCCCATCACTGTGGTAAATTTGTTGATGTTCCTTATAGTTCTCTCTGTATTTGCTTTATACATTTTGGACCAATGTTGTTTGATGCATGAAGTTTACAATTGTTATAACTTCCTGGTGAACTGAAACTTTAAGATTTTTATCTCTAGTAATGCCTTTGCTTCTACTTTTACTAATATAACACATCTCTACCATCCTTTCTCCCTCCTGCAATTCATTATTTAGATGGTTAAGCTCCTGTACTAGGTGAATGGTGAACACTGAAATTATTTCTAAAGAACTATATTCCCAGTGTGAATATATGGTTAAACTAGCGCTAAGACAGGTCATCATTTTATCAATTCCACAATAAAACAAAGTATCAGGTATCCAAATACAAAGTTACACAATTCAAAAAGCATATAAAGTACTAGATGCCTGATCATTTCATTACTAGAAACCCACTTCTCTTTTGATTGGGAAGACAAGGAAAAAACATGCTTCCAAGAAAAACAGTTAATGAACAACTTCTAATAGACATGGTAAGGAATTACAAGATTTCAGAAATTTTATAAATAAGAAATGTTTGGGCTATAAAGCATCTCTGCCTTAAAAAGAATTTTTTTCTTGCTAAATAAAAGACCTATTCTATACACCCTGCCAAAACAAAGGCAACATTTTAGTGGAGATATTTCATAGCCTCCTCCCACTCTCTCTTTAAACCCTCCCCCTCTAAGTTGCACCCCAAGTGTAAACATTAAAGTAACTGTAAGACGTTTTTGTCTGAAACCATTACACACATGTGCTCTGTACAATGTGTATTTTACATGAACTTTCAACCACAGATTGGTGATTTTTCAAAATGGAGGCTTTCATAACAGCACAAAATGAGCTTTATAGAAAGACATTAAATAATCCCTTAAGTCTTGGTAGGAATCCAATAAAAATCGATTTTTGCTAAAATCTGAAGTATAGTGGTGTTCATGTGGGATGGTAAACATGAAGGAAAAAATAACCACATAGGCCCTACTTACAATGTTTGAAAGGACTAAAGGAATAAACCACATATGGTTTACAGTGCTGTTCATAATTACTAGGATTTTAATTACATAGGATACTAAAAATATACAAGTATTGTGCTGGATATTTTGGCACCTAAGCTCTCAACTTCTTACATATTTTTTTCTGGCATGGGAATAGTATGAAGCCAAAAATAGAGGCTGCAATTCTGTCATGCTTGTGGTTTTTTCATGATTCCTATGGAAGCTTCATTAGACTGGTCATTCATTAAGCCTACATGTTGGCTAATATGTACGATAATTAAGTCCTGTCTCAAGTTCCATTTCCAAGGCAACAGCATAAGGGAGCCAAGTTTTATTGAATGCAACAGTTGTTTCTATGACCACTGGAGTCTTTGTAGCGCAGCCGCATTTTAGAACGATATTTCTCCAAATACAAAAGTTGCTTGCTGTTAAAAGCTCCACGCCGCTTTTGTCTTATAAACTGTACTGCATCTTCATTTTTCATTCCACCTTCAATTAGTGCTAGGGCAACAAGCACTGGCGTTCTCCCAAGACCCGCAACACAGTGGACAGCAATACAACAGCCAGGTTCTTCCCGAAATTTAATGTGTACGAGACTCAACCAGTCGTCGACAATCTGGTTAGATGGCGATGACCCGTCATCGAAAGGCCAATCCAGAACCTGAATGCCTTCTTTCTCCACGAGAGCAGTGTCGTAGGTTGCTTCACATACTCTTACTATTGTAGTAACTCCGTGTTTCTTAAGTTCTTCTATAAACTTGTTTAAGGTTGCACTGGTTGGGCTGTGTGTAATAAGAAATCTCATGTTCCTGTATGTGACTTCCACGGGGGCTGGCGGGCTCGTTGGAGCCATGTTCATTTAGTTGAAATGTTTTCAATACTTGAAGGCAGAAGTGATGTGAAGAAGCTGAAGTATACACCCATATACTCCACTGGAAATTCTCAATGCTTGGGAAAATGTAATTGAGAGTAACAGGAAACGCAACGAGCCCCCTCGCAAGCAGCCGTCCTTCAGTTCAGTAATATTGAGTCAGTGGAAAGGAAGCCCGCCCAGGTTTACCCCATCCAGGTCTTAATTCTTGGGAAACGCTCCGAGGATTTCAACTCTACACGTGCACGTCCAGGATAGCCGATCGGCCGGCGGCTTCTCGGGGAAGGAGCAACGAACCTCTATAGTTCACTGGTCCTCGTAAAGGTCGTGCTGTGCCTGGCAGTAATCTCTGGGGCCCTTCAGAAACTCCATAAAGGCGTGACCGAGAACACCACAGACAGGAGCCTGTTTACTCATTAAAGACTGTGGCCTAATCATACAACCAGTCCCGCAGCGGCGACACAGGCGGCGGCGGTGGCCTCGGCTGCGGGGCAGGGAATGGCAGTGGCAGCCGTGGGGCAGCAGTGACCCGACACCAGGCTCGACGGTGCTCCAGCCTCGAAGGAGCCAATCCGCGAGCGGAGGCGTTCTTGCGTCACAAGCCCGCCCTGTCAGAGCAGGCGTGACGTAGGCTCCTCTCCACCAATCGCGGCAGGGCGCACCGAGAAGCTATGAGCGTGAGACCCAGCGCTGGCCCGCAGTTGTCACTACCGCCAGAGACGCCACGATGGGAGGGAAGAGAAGGTATTGGGGGAAGAATTCCTCCATTCCCATCCACTGGCTCTGAACGATAAATCTTTTTCCAGCGGTTTCGTGTTTTAGCTGACTCGGGCACAACACGTTCCTAGACTTTTCTTTAATCCAGTCTGACAATACTGGTCTTTTAACTGAAGACCTTCGTTAATTTACATTATTTTATTTAATGTTTTTAGTTAATTTACATCATTTTATTTTACATTATGTTAATTATTGCTATATTTGCTCTCATTTTGTACTATTTCATATATTTATCCCTTTTTTCATCCGTTCTTGATTTCTTTTGGATTAGGGTTTTGCTCCTCTAAATCTGTATCCAAAATCCTCTGCTGTGTTGGGGATGTTGTGATTGTGGTTTAAGCTTACCAACTGCTACCGATTAGATACTGTTCTAAATCTAACTGGCTTTAAAGAAATTCATTTGCTGTAACAACTGTATGAATTAGATAGTTTTATTTTTATAGCTCTGATTTAAAAAAAAAATAAATAAACTTCGGCACAGAAGAGTTACTTGCCCAAAGTTACACAACTAGTAAATGTCAGAGTTAAGATTTAAATCATGAAATTCTGGCTCTGGAGTCTACTTCCCTAACATATATATGTCCTATCATATACCTTTTTATTCTTTTACTACTAAAATAGCTTAGAAATAGTCAAACATTCTAAATACTTTCCCATGTCTTCAAGGAACTTAATAGACTTTAAATATTAATGTTGTCAAGCATTTTTTTAACACCACCTATTACATTGTTTATAAAAATCAGTCTTTAAGTTTATTCAGTATGTGATCAGCTTCTTTGCTCACTATTCCTCCTTGCACTGCCACCCTTTCTTGTAAGATTATTCTTTATTTACCCAGGAGCATCTTCTGGAAGTTCCCTTAGTTCCTAGTATATGATCAACTTTGAACAATATTTTATATAACCTTAAAAATATGCATTCTCTCACTACTGAAATTGTTGGGAGACTTGTCCCCCCCCCTTTGGTTCTTTAATGAGTTTTTGTTGTTGTTTTTTTTTTCCTGAAATTCTCTTATTTGGGTTTCATTCTTATTGTTTTGCTGGGTATATAATTTTGCATTGACATTTATTTTCATAGTCCCTTGAAGACATTCCTTGTCTTCAGGTTTCCTCTCTAATAGCTGTAGAATTTTCTAAAATATCTAGTCTTTGGGCATTACCATGATACCAAAACCAGACAGTTCAAAAAAGAAAACTATAGGCCAATATCCCTAATGAACATAGATGTAAAGATTTTCAATAAAATATTAGCAAACCACATTCAACAACGCAATAAAGGCTCATATGCTATAATCCAGTAGAATTTCTTGGTTCAATACTTGCAAGACAATGAACCACATTAATAAGATAAAAGATAAAAATCATATGATCATTTCAATACATGCAGAAAAAGTGCTTGTCAAAACTCATTTGTTCATGATAAAAACTCACAACAAGTGGATTTAGAGGGAAAATGCTCAATTAAGTCCATATAGGAAAAACCCACAGCTAATATCACCCTCAATGCTAAAAAACTGAGTACTTTTCCTTTAAGATCAGGAATAAGACAAGAATGTCCACTCTCACCACTTTTATTCAACATAGTACTGGAAGTCTTAGCAACAGTAATTAGACAAGAAAAGGGGAAAAAGGGAGTGCAAATTAGTAGGGTAGAAGTTATACTATCACTTTTTGCAAATGACATAATACCATACATCGAAAACCCTAAAGACTCCACCAGAATCTGTTAGAGTAAATAAACACTATTTTATCCTAATATCTTAATGTGATAGGATATAAAATTAATATAGAAATCTATTGCACTTCTATATTATGTATACACACACACACACAAAATAGGAGAAAGAAATTAAGAAAACAATTCCATTTAAAACTGCACCAAAGAGGGGCACCTGGATGGCTCAGTGGGTTAAGCCTCTGCCTTCAGCTCAGGTCATGGTCTCAGGGTCCTCGGATCGAACCTCACATCGGGCTCTCTGCTCAGCAGGGAGCCTGCTTCCCCCCACCCCACCTGCTTCTCCCCCTACTTGAGATCTCTATCAAATAAATAAATAAAATCTTTAAAAAAAATCTGCACCAAGTAGAATAAAATACCTGAGAATAAACTTAACCAAAGAGGTAAAAGACCTGTACTCTGAAAATCAGAAGACACTGAGGAAAGAAACTGAAGATGACAGAAACAAATGGAAAGATATTCCATGCTTGTGGATTGGAACAAATATTGTTAAAAGGTCCATACTACTCAAAGCCATTGCATTCAATATGATCAATATCAAAATATCAATAGCATTTTTCACAAAGCTAGAATATATAATACTAAAACTTGTATGAAATCAATGAAGCCCACAAATAGCCAAAACAGTCTTGAGAAAGAAAAACAAAATTAGAGGTATCAAAATACCAGATTTCAAGACATACTACAAAGCCGTAATAACTCAAACTGGCACAAAAACAGACACCTAGATCAATGGAACAGAACATAGTCCAGAAATAAGTCCATACACATATGGTCATGTAATCTATGACAAAAGAGGCAAGAGCAAACAATGGGGTGAAGACAGGCTGGTCAATAAATGGTACTGAGAAGACTGGACTGCTACATTCGGAAGAATGAAACCAGATCACTCTCTTACAGCTTAAATATTAATTCAAAATGGATTAAGTACAGAACTGTGAGACCTGACACCTAAAAGTCCTAGAAGAAAACATAGGTAGTAGTCTCTAACATCAGCCTTAGCAATATTTTTCTAGATGGGTCTCCTCGAGCAAGGGAAACAAAAGCAGAAATAAACTATTGGGAGTGTACCAAAATAAAAAGCTTCTGTATAATGAAGAAAACCACCAACAAAGTGAAAACACAACCTATGGGAGAAGATATTTGCAAATGATGTATCCTATAAGGAGTTACTATCCAAAATATATTAAAAACTTATACAACTCAACACCCCAAAAATAACCCAATTTGAAATTGAGTAGAGGACATGAGTAGATATTTTTCCAAAGAAAACATACAGACGGCCAACAGACAAAGGAAAACATGCTCAGATCACTAATCATCAGGGAAATGCAAATCAAAATCAGTGAGATATCACCTTATACCTGTCAGAATAGCTAGTATCAAAAAGACAAAAAAGTAACAAGTTTGGCAAGGATGTGGAGAAAAAGAAACCCTCATACAATGTTGTTGGGAATGTAAACTGGTGCAGCCACTAGAGAACAGTATGCAAGTTCCTCAAAAAATTAAAAATAGAAATACTTTATGATCCAATAATTCCACTTTTGGGTGTTTACCCAAAGAAAATGAAAACACTAATTCAAAAAGATATATGCTCCTGTAGGCTTACTGTAGTACTATTTACAATAGACAAGATATGGAAGTGACCCAAGTGTCCATTGATAGATGAATGGATAAAGAAAACGTGGTATATGTATGCAATGCCATAAAATGAAGGCAATCTTAGCCATTTGTGTTAACATGGATGGTCCTAGAATCTATCATGCTAAGTGACAGAAGTTAGAGAAAGATAAACATCATGTGATTTCACTAATGTGTGGAATCTAAAAAGCAAAACAAATTAACAAACAAAAAAAGACTCTTAAATACAAAGAACAAACTGGTGGTTGCCAGAGGAGATGGGGGTGGGGGAATGGGTGGAATAGATAAACTTCCAGTTATGGAATAAATAAGTCATGGAGATGAAATGTACAGCATAGGAAATACAGCCAATACTATTGTAACAACATTATGTGGCGACAGATGGTGACCACACTTACACTTTGAGCACTAAGTAATGTATAGAAATGTTGAATCAGTATGTTGTACATCTGGAACTAATATAACAATGTATGTAACAATAGAACAATGTATGTTAATTATATTTCTTTTTTTTTTTAAAGGTTTGAAACAGACCCATAAATACAGAGAACAGACCAGTAGTTGCCAAAGGGGAAGGGGCTGGTGGGATGGGCAAAATGGGTGAAAGAGGGTGAGAGGTCTAGGCTCCCACGTAATCCACTTATCAAATGAGTAAGTCACAGGGATGAACGTTTCAGCATAGGGAACATAGTCAAATAGCATTGTATATGGACAGACGGTAGCTACATCTGTGGTGAGCTATGTAACATACAGAGTTGTCAAATCACTATGTTGTATACCTGAAACCAGTGTAAAACTGCATGTTAACCAAACTTCAAGAAAAATTAAAT